ATAGTATAAGTAGGATATCTCCACAGAGTAAATGTTGTGTTGTCTGTCTTCATTTTGTATCAGCTGGACCTTCCATTGTAGAATTATGAGACCACCTTGGAGAAAGATGTGTGGTACATGACTCTGGGTTACATCATAACGTGCTTCCAGATCGTAGTGTTCAATGTCCTCTGAAGTAACTGCCTGTTGCCTCTGCTGCCCTTTGAACCAGTGTACAGTCGCCAGATAGGGACTGGTAAACACCTGATTCCAAACATGTAGGATGGGGGTCTTGTCCTTTTTTTATGTGGTTTAATTGTTAAGTGTCTAAAGCTTAATATGCTGTGCTATGTAAATATTTTATGGATATAACACTGTCATATTTTGATGTCAACAGAGTTTTAGAGATAAAATGGTATCTGGCCAACATCAAGTGACTTTATAGCTGCAAGAAATGTGGTATGTGGAGAAGTTCTGTATGTGAGGAAGGAAAAAAAGAAAATTAAAGTGCATTTGAAAAATATTTTTTAAAAATTTAAAAAAAAAAAAAAAAAGAGAACAGCCTCAGGGGACCCCCCAACCTCAGCACTCTCTCTGGGCCTCTGCAGTCTCACACAACTCCGTAGCTTTCACAGGGCCGAGAGCCGAGGGACCTGGTTGGGATCAGGGCCCACCCTTCTGCAAAGCTGGCCCTGACCTTAGGCCAAGTCCCAGCAATGTAGCACTGTGGGTAGCATCCAGGCCTCCAAGCAGCAGGCAGACCACTGCTAGCAAGGGATCTGGGTGCGTTTATTACCAAAGCCTTGGTTTCCTAGCTTGACGAGTAAACATCCCAACAGAGAAACTACTTTGTAGTGTTGCTGGACACATTAATGAATTAGTGCTATGTGCCTGGTAGTGCTTTAAAGACATCAAAACATCCAATTCATAATATCCAGATGAGGTAGGTACTGCTGTTGTTTCCCTTTTACAGATAAAGAGAGGGTATCAAAGAGAGGTTAAGAGATGTGCCTAAGGCCACACAAGTGGCAAATGTTAGAACCAGGATTCCGGCCCAGGGAGTCTGGCTCCAGAGTCTAAGCTAGTCTTACTATGCAAACGAGTGTCTTTACAATGCATGTAAAGTCTTCAACGCAATGCCAGGAACATATTAAAAGCTCAATAAATAGTAGCTGATCCTCTTGGCTGCTGGGATGCCTCAGTAAAGCAGATGGCGGCCACCCTGTGCTCTGTGTACAAACCTCATCTCCCTCCTACACCAACAGCCTTATGAGTCAGGAGTGTGCCTGTCTCGTCCACCTTTGCATTCCAGCAGGCCCCAGCATCATGCCTGTGGCTCTCTGAAAACCTGCTGGATGTATAAGATGACACCTATTTATCAAGCACCCACTGTGTGTGCCTTATCTCATTCAACCCTCCCACTGCCTCATGGGCAAGCTGGGCATTTCAGCATCTTGGCAAAGGGACACCACCCCTCCACCAGGATATCGGTGGAGGCCCCTGGTCTGCAGCGCATTCCCCTTCTCTTGCCATCCCCATCCAGTCATTGTAGCAAGGGGCCTTGCACATGAGTATGGACACTCCAGACTGCATATATGAGCTCCAGCCATGTCCACGTCTCAGTCACAGCTGGCCATTCTCAGCCAAGGCATGGGCATACAAGTGGCCCTAGGGAAGATGAACCCAGTGCAGGCCCTGGGAGCTAGCAAAGGGGCGTTTGGGCAGAGAATTATAGAAAAGGAAGGATCTGGGGGTCCAGGGGACATGTCCCTTTCCCCACTGGGGAGCTGCAGCCAGAGTGGGAGCCTACAGACCTCTTTCCCCATTGGGGAGCTGCAGCCAGAGTGGGAGCCTCTTGGAACATATGACCTTGTCTCTTTGGCCCAGAGCTGATGTCTTATGCTATCCCAAGTGTGAGCTGTTTTGGTCTCAAAAGAAAAGTCCTCTCCTCTTCCCTTCAGGGAAAAGTACTGAAGAGGGCAGGAGACTGGTGGTTTGAGACCTACCCCTTAGAAACCATGTGACCCTGTGCCATGACTGACCTTCCTAGACCCAGCCTTGTGTGTACAAAATGAAGACAAACACCTACCTCACCACCCTGTTGGCAGGACTCGAAGGATGACAAAGTGCCAAGCAAATCAATGTTTTCTTATGGATGGCCAGGGAGGTGAATACGATTCAGGTGAAACAGCCCTGGGCCTATGGAAATGGTCAGTCTGTTCCAGGAATAATACCTACCTAAAGGATGCTGTTAAGAACTGAATAAGTGTGTGTGCAAAGGCATCTGGCACCCAGGAAGAACTCAAAAACTATACATGGTGGAGGTGGTGGTGCTGGTGATGACCATTCCTGGTGGTGCTGGTGGTGCCAGGCACCTGCAGATATTTGGCTAAATTACATATTTTAATGATCACAATAACTAAAGAGGTGTGTTCCTATAGTGCAGATGGAAAAAGTAGGGCCAAGATCACAGGGTTTGTGAGTGAACAGCGAGGCCGGAAACACATGCTTGTCTGTCTGCATCCGATTCCTCTTCCCACCACATTCAGCACCACCTGACTGGCTGTCTTGCAGACTCTGGGGATAATTCATTCACAACACTCTTACCTGCTCACAATAAGAAGCCTGTTCACAGCACCCAGGCCAGATCAGCCATTGAGACATTTATACTAGAGATGGTGGGCCACCTGCTTTGCCAACAGATATACAAGAGCTCCTTGTGTTCCCGTCCACATCAACTCGGCTCATCAAAAAACCCATCCCAGGGAAAATGAGCTTGCTGATAAACCAACTAAGCATAACAAGAAATACCAGCAAACTTTGAGGCACTTTACAAGGAAAGTCACACCTAAGTACTTGTTGGACCCAAGAAGACTCAGGTAGCAAGGCAGGGAGTGGCTCATGACAGCCACCCGAACAGTCACTTCTATTTGGTTCTCGAAAATAATGGAAAACAAACTCGGTTTTCACAAGTGGTATGCTGTGTACACTGAGTCCACATCAGGTGTTCTTGAATTCTCCGATAAATAAAAACCACAAGCAATTGTGGCACCACCGGGCTGGAGGGAAGCACCGGCTTGCACCTGTCATTAGGAGCAGCCTGGGGCCTTATGGGGCAGACCCTTTTCCTGAACTAGTGGTGTTGGGGTGAACACCTTCCAGGTCCCCAGGGCTCGCTCCTCACCCTGAAAAGATTAAATCATTTATTTGCATAAGAAAATATCTAACCCAAATACAGGAGGCACAGGCGGGCACAGGGCGCTGTGGTTACAATACAAGCAACATCTGGACCTGCAAATTCATGATGCAGCTACAAGAAGTGCGTGCAGGGAAGGTGGGTGGCTGGGGAGGCAGCCCAGCATCATCCCCAAAGTCTTTACTATTGCTCTCCCCTCTGATGAGTCACAATGCTCTTTGTTGGTGATGCCTGTAACATAACCCTCCTCTCCCCTCTTTAGCAACTGGCAACACCAAGGTGCCAATCTCTTTTTTTTTTTTTTTTTTTTTTTTTTTTTGAGACAAAGTTTTGCTCTTGTTGCCCAGGGTGGAATGCAATGGCGTGATCTCAGCTCACTGCAACCTTTGCCTCCCAGGTTCAGGTGATTCTTCTGCCTCAGTTCCCCTAGCAGCTGGGATTACAGGCACCTGCCACCACACCAGGCTAATTTTTATATTTTTAGTAGAGACGGGGTTTCGCCATGTTGGCCAGGCTGGTCTTGAACTCCTGACCTCAGGTGATCCACCCGCTTCCCAAAGTGCTGAATTACAGGCATAAGCCACCACACCCAGCTGCCAATCTCTTTAAATGGCTTCAGCTGCCAAATCTTACCAGCAAGTTTGGGTCACTGATGCCTAACCCTCTTCTCCTACAGACCCTGCTCTTCTGGGTAATTTCCCCTGATTCCCTTAAAATGATACCAACACCAAAGAATTTCACCAAAGGGGGCAAGCACGGGACACAAACTTACCACTGCACCGAGGGCCCTTTGAGGCTAATGTGCCATGTCCTTATAAAGCATCCCCCATCCCCACATGGTGTAAGACTAACCATACAATTCAGGCTTTCATAACAGGAGATGCAGGCAGCAGGACTTTAACTTACTGGCTTCCCGCAGGTGTTCCACGGCACAGCAGGGGAAACAGATTTTGTAGAAGAGGTCAAGGTGAGGATGGACCCTCAACAGAATCTTCAAAACCAAAAGGCAAGTTGCAGTACCAGCCGACCCTCCGCCACGCAGAGACCGCTGCGGACGCTGAAACACCCTACTCACCGTCAGGCTGGCTTGTCCCCGGGCGTCTGAACAAGCCAACCTGACAGGATGGGTACTCAGTGGAGGACACTCTCTGAGAAGACTGAGATGGTGGGGAAACCCACTCTCCAGGGCTGGCTTCCCATGCAGCTGTTTGAAGAAAGAGCTACCCTGGAGAATCTTAGTCACCGCTGTGGTTGTAGAGAAGACCGAGCACAGGAGCAGCTCCTCGAGGAGGAGGGGCACAGACCACACTCCCAGCTTCTTGGTGACCTCCAAGGGAACCAGTTGGAATGGCAGCAAATGGGCTTTTCCTCTGGCTTTTGCTCACCTCGCTGTGCACCCAGCCCAGATACATTCCACACTTACTCATAGAAAGAGTAAAGCAAGCCAGGTATGAGGCAGTTACAAGCTAGCAGTTTTTTATGTGATTGATTCTATCTTCTCTGGAGATGCCCCAAGATTCTCTGGAAACAATTAGGGCTCAGTATTTCCTAGCCAAGGAGCAAGCTTCCAGGAAATGAGCAAGTGAGCCTCCAATTGTATATGTAAATGTAAATTGTGTATGTAGATGTAAAAACAGCATGCACGCCCCTCCACCCCCAAACCTTTTTCATTTCCAAGCTTTTCTCTAAATCACCAGGATCCAAATACCTCCCACCCAGCTCCCATCCCCGCCCTCCTCCTCAGCCTTGGGCCCACATCTGTCTTCACAAAAGGCGCCTCGCTGGCCTGCACCACAGAAAACATCCAAGCCCAAGGTACACAGGGTTTGTGTCTAAAGGGTTTTTATTGGAGAGCCTGTAGTGCTGAAGTGCCACCAAGGATTTGGAAGGTCACTCTCAGCAGCTGCCACTTCTACCAGGACCAGTGGCAAGCACCTGGCAGATGGAGCCCGGGTATTTCCGCGTAAGGCAGAGGAATCCAGCTTTTCCATGAGATTCAGCTGCAGTTGTCGAAAACCCTGTATGAGCCAGCAGTTCCAGTTCAAAGGTTGAGGCGGGGGGCGAACAGCTGCGAGGTGGCTGGGCTCCCGTGAGTCACCACTCAGGCCTGAGTACACCGTGGAGAGGAGAGATAAAGCAGCCACGGCTGTTCTGTTGCCAGTCCCACCCCTCTGGCAAACAGATGGGGGAAAACAGAGAAGGAAAGTCAACAAAGAAGGTGAAATGCAGGGAGCAGAGACTACACGCAGGCCCCCCGTGGCTGGCAATGCCATGCGTGGTGGGCCGGCTGCGCCATCCTCACCCAGGGCTTCCCACGGGCTCTGCTCTTTCCTGCAGAGGCCAGACTGCCTTCCTGGCAGGTGGAGGCTGCCGAGCTCCCACGCCCCTTCCCACATATCCCCACTCTTCTCAGAAAACTGAAGAACCTGAAGATGGAGGTGGGTCGGGAAAGGCCGGAGTTTTCATCCAAAAAAAGAGAGCAGGACAATAAACAGGCAAATACATAAACCCTGGAGCAATGCCAGGAAAAAAGGGGGAAATAAAAAATAAAAAAATAAAAAACACATTTCTAGAGACAGCAAAATCCCAGGGTCCCGAAGGCACTGCTAATAGACTACTAGAAGCGTCTTTGTTGCAGCCAATCACCTCTAGCCTGGGAACACCGCTAGTCGGGAGGCCTCGATCAACCTGAGAAGTCAGCCCAAGACCCTGTCTCCAGAAGCCAGCAGCAGATCTCTGGGTCACATCACCAGCAAGTCCTCACTTCACCAGCTCAGAGGTGAGCCACTCGCACCTGAACCTCTGCCTTCCCACAGGGACCTCCTGGGTCCTGTGGGGCCTCCTGGGTCCAGGCGGGTTTCTAGTCCAGCCCAATCTAGACTGACTTCAAATATAGTCCCCTGACAGTGTGCTTTTTACCAGCCAGCTGAATCACCGTTCATTTTTAAAATGGTTTTTAAAAATTACATTTCTAAGGCAAACAACGTAGAACTGTGACAGAGCAGAGGAACAACAAAAAAGCACAAAGAATGCTGCTAATCACCAGCTGCCTAGCACTTTCCTTTCCCTTCAGAGAAGGAGAAACTTTTATCACACATGTGCACATGAGCACAAGTGCACAGTTTTTCCCTGATACTAGAAATTCTTTTGTGAAGTAGCCATGCTGATTTCTGGCTGAACCTTTTTTTTAAGAAAGAAAGAGAAAGAAAAGAAAGAAAGAAAGAAAGAAAGAAAGAAAGAAAGAAAGAAAGAAAGAAAGAAAGGAGAGAGAGAGAGAGAGAGAGAAAGAAAGAAGGGAGGGAGGGAGGGAGGGAGGAAAGGAGGGAGGCACGGAGGGAGGGAGGAAGGGAAGGAGGCACGGAGGGAGGGAGGGAGGGAGGGAAAGGAACCACAGACGTGTCCAGGTCTGGAAGGGGCTGACCAGCTCTAAGCACATCCACCTTGAACTCTGACACAGGTAATGCCAAAATGAGGCCAGGACCTGACCAAGCCAAAAAAACAGCAAAGGATCAGATGGGGTCCAATGTGTAGATCCAGTAGAGAAGAATGTCAGAAATTCTAAATACACAGTTGGACACCCTTCAGGCTTGTTTTAGATTCTTGATCCTCCTGATCTCTTTTACTATTGTCAACAATTGTCTTAAAAAAACTTTTTTAAAATCAACATGTTTCTACCCTTTGCTCCGTAGCAAGGCACAAAGCCTCTTACATGGGGAGTAGAAGTGGGGGACACTTTAAAGGGGCGCCCAAAGGGTGGCAGAAGCAACTCCGTTGTGGTGGAAACGAGCTTGCCAGTGACACTCTGAGCAGACGCCTGACACCCACGATGGAGCTGGGGTTTTATACATAACGTTCATTTTGGTTTCAACACCTCTGACGCGAGAGGGCTTCCAGGTCTTCACACCCCAGGTTGCAGCTGACCAACTTTCCACAGGATGCCAACAGGCTGGGAAACAGGTTTTACCTAAAAGAAAGGGAAGGACAAGAGTCAGCCCCTTCCAGCAGAGCCCCGCACCCATTCTGACCCCTCCTGAACATCTCTATCCCTCACCCTCTCAGCCATTGAAAAGGTCACAGTCCCCAGCCACAGGACCTTTGAGTGTGCTGTCTGGAAGGCACAATCCACTCTTCCAGCAAACCCCCTCCCTCCCCTCAGCTCCCAACTAAGGATCCCTCCCCCAGCTCCCCACACAGACTCCCTAGAACATAACCTCTTTCTCCTTATATCTCTCCCTCCTTGCCAGCACTTCCAGGGTGTTTACACGAGGGGTTGGAAAACTTCTGTAACAATCCAGAGAGGAAATACTGTAAACTCTGCAGGTCCCGCAATCACGGTGATAACTCCTCAACCCTGCTGTGGTGGTGGAACAGCAGCCACAGCAAGAAATGCTTGGCCATGGCTGTGTTCCAGTAAAATCTTATTTATAGACACTGAAATTTGAATTGCATATTACTTTCTCTTGTCATAAAATAGTATTTTTCCTTTAGTTCTTTTTCAACCATTAAAATGTGAAAATCATTCTTGGCTCCTGAGCTGTACAAAAACAGACAGCGGGCTGGATTTGGCCCCTGGGCCATAGTTTGTTGACCCTTGGCTTATGTATCTGATTAGCGTTGGTCTCTTGCTTAGACTGGGAGCTTGAGACAAAAGCCACGTCTAAGCTTCCTTACCTTTAAACCCCAGGCCCACACCACAGTGTCAGACAACATAAGAAGTACAATAAATAAGTTTAGGCCAGGCATGGTGGCTCAAGCCTGTAATCCCAGCACTTTGCGAGGCCGAGGCGGGTGGATCACATTCTGGCTAACACGGTGAAACTGCATCTCTACTAAAAACACAAAAAATTAGCCAGGCGTGATGGCGGGCACCTGTAGTCCCAGCTACTCAGGAGGCTGAGGCAGGAGAATGGCGTGAACCCGGAGGCAGAGCTTGCAGTGAGCCGAGATTGCGCCACTGCACTCCAGCCTGGGCGACAGAGCGAGACTCCGTCTCAAAAAAAAAATAAGTTTAAAAACGGAATCTGCGGCCAGGCGTGGTGTCTCACGCCTGTAATCCTAGCACTTTGGGAGGCCACAGCGGGTGGATCACTTGAGGTCAGGGGTTCGAGACCAGCCTGGCCAACATGGTGAAACCCTGTCTCTACTAAAACTACAAAAATTAGCCAGGTGTGGTACCACATGCCTGTAATCCCAGCTACCTAGGAGGCTAAGGCATGAGACTCACTTGAACCCGGGAGGCAGAGGTTGCAGTGAGCTGAGATGGCACCACTGTACTCAAGTCTGGGTGACAGAGAAAGACTCTGTCTCAAAAAAAAAAGAAAAAAAAACTGAATCTGCTCAAGACATCATCTAAAGGGACTTTAGAAAAGAAGGGAAAATTTGACCAGTTAAAGCCGCCACCATCACCTCTTGATGTTTGATTATGGGCATTATATAATTACATGAGCAAAAATAACAAGGATTTAATAGAATTTACAAAATAATGAACTGCCTGTCATAATATTACGTAATACCAAATATATTACCATATCAGGTAGCTATTTACTAGAAGATGTAAACATCCTATTTTTAGGAAATACATAATTATTTGCAGAAAAGGGCCATGATATATATAACTTACCCTCCAATGGTTTAGTAAAAACCGTTTGTGCGCACACACACACATATATACACGGATGAATCAGAAAGCAAACAGGCAAAAAACGTTAACAGGAAAATATGAGTTAAAAGTACAAGGGAGTTCCCTACACTATTTTTATTTTTGCATGAAATTTAATTTTTTTTCCACATAAAAAGTTGTTTAAAGAGAAAACATAAGCCAGGCACGGTGGGTGGGTCATGCCCGTAATCCCAGCACTTGGGGAGGTCCAGTTAGGAGAATCGCTTGAACCCAGTAGTTAGAGACCAGCCTGGGCAACATAATGAGAGCTTGTCTCTACAAAAACTACAAAAATTAGCTGGACATGGTGGCGTGTGTCTGTAGTCCTAGCTACCCAAGAGGCTGAGTGGGATGATCACTTGAACCCAGGAGGTTGAGGCTACAGTGAGCCAATATCTTGCACTACACTCCAGCCTGGGTGACAGAGCAAGATCATCTCAAAAAAAAAAAAAAAAAAAACCCTACTCAACACCTACTCAACAGACTAGAGAAAGAGAAAAATCTCCAGCAAGCCATGTGCAAGTCGTACAGGAGGCTGGCTTTCTTACACTGATCCCCTGGCCCCTTCTGTGGGTTGGGGAGTCGGGGAATCTATCCTCTCAAACCAACATCTCAAAGCCCAAGCCCTCATACCCCCCACTGCAAAGAGGAAGGGACTAAGGACCCCCAATGTTAAGGCTCCTACCAGGTCTGACTCCACCATCAGGCCTTCCACTGCCTCTTGCTGCAAGGTCAAAGTCGAGGATGAGGGGTGGGGGCACAGGAACTGAGGAGGAGCAGTGAAGATTTCAAAGACCAAGAATCAGAGCTGAGGGCAGGGACCTGACCACCATAGCTGTGCCAGAGCAGATCTGGCCACAGCAGGCCTGTGGGCTCTGGAGAAAGCAGCCGGCAGAATCAACGGAGATGCAAACTCTGTACCACTGCCATGCTGAAATTCACCTCCGTGAGTGTCTGGGCATCCCACGGGACTGCTCTGAATCTTACGGGGATCCCCTACCAGGCTGTTTGCCCTCGCCTCACCCTCAGGTTGCTGTCTCTATCCGTGTACTTAAGAAACGCCCACACGTACACAAGGTAGGGAGCCACACTGCTCATCGCAGAATCCTTCACGCTCCTCCACGGGGAGAAGCCCACCCGCACATGGCAACGCCTGCCCAGGTCAGGCCTGGCCACTGGCTCTCGGGGTCTCTCCAGGAGATGGTAGAGCCATACCCCAAGTTTCAGCCATGTAGTTGGCTGGGCCTTCAGGCTCTCTGGGGTGACTGGGACTCAGGAACAATACTCCAGGGACAGTGGAGGGAACAGGCTGTCTCCAGAGGAGGCTGGTTGTAAAGTCCTGGCTCTCTCAACGTCATCTAGCTGTTTCCCTGTGGCCATCTATGGGCCAGAAGCTTTGGGCTTCCCCCGAGGAGTGGCTTGGGGGACAGAGGCTCAAAGCTGCCACTCACCCAACATCCCTATGCTGACTCAAACGTCCCTGTGCCTGCACCTGCTGTTACTTCTCCCTGGAATGCCCTCACTACTCCCTGCATGTTGAGCCACCTTGGGCTCACTTCCTGGTCCTCTCAAACTCGTAAGTTTCACCTCCTCTGGGAAGAACTTACTGCCCCCTTCCTGGCTGCCCACAGCACCTGTTCCTTCCTCTGTGAGAGCCAGGTGGTCTTAGAAGTGGCCATGCTCGGCCAGGTGCAGTGGCTCACACCTGTAATCCCAGCATTTCAGGAGGCCAAGGCGGGCAGATCACTTGATGTCAGGAGTTCGAGACCAGCCTGACCAATATGGTGATACCCCATCTCTATTAAAAATACAAAAATTAGCTGGGCATGGTAGCGGGCGCCTGTAATCTCAGCTATTCAGGAGGCTGAGGCAGGAGAATCGCTTGAGCCTGGGAGGCAGAGGTTGCAATGAGCCAAGATCGGGCCACTGCACTCCAGCCTGGGCAACAAGAGTGAGACTCCGTCTCAAAAAAAAAAAAACAAGTGGCCATGCTCCTGCTCCTGCTGTCTCCCACTCTCAACACAGGCCCCTCGAGGGCAAGGCCAGGCTTACCTAGCCTGTACTCATGGTGAAGGGAATTATCAGGCTCACCAACTAGACACACTCTAGATGACAAGCAGAGATTCCAAAAGGCCTCTCTCATTCCCCTTCTCATTCCCCAGAACTGCCAAATTGCTAGTGACATTTCATTGTTAAGGTAAGTCAGAAAGAGTCAATGCCGACCACCACCCCCACCAAAATCTCTGTAGGAAGTGAAGGCATATTTAGCTGCCACGGCCCAGACTTGTTCAGATTTCCCACTGTGCTATAGGATGACACTGGGTTACAACCATCCCACACAAGGAGAATGACATGTCCCAACTTGCCTCTGGCCCATGTTTTACAAGAAGCTTGTCTGACAGGTGAAATAGCTGTCAACACAGGAGCACCTGTTGCAGCACCTGTCAGTGGCGTCCGGCACCCTGGCAGCTGACCTCTCTGTGCAGCCGGCAAGGACACCCTGGGAAGAGGACGCAGCGGCCCCACGAGTGAACGACGGAGAAGCCAGAGGGAGGAGGCCTGGCCTGTCTGTGAGTATGTCTGAGACAGAGAGACGTGGGGACACCACCACCATGTGTCAGGGAAGCCCCTGGCAGTTCTACTGCTTCCATCCAGGGACACACAAGAAAAGAACACCTGAAAAACATGGCTTGCTTTTGCAAAAGCATTGATACTTAGGATGATTTGTGTTTTCCTTCCTTCCTTCCTTCCTTCCTTCCTTCCTTCCTTCCCTCCTTCCTTCCTTCCTTCCTTGGTTCCCTCGTTTCTTTTTCTTTCTTTCCCTTTCCTCTTTGTTAGTTTGTTTGATCAGATTCCTGTTCACATAGGCTCCATCCTTGTAGACATAAGACACAAGAATTTTTAAGGTGCCCTGGCTTTGAGCGAGACACCTTAAATGAAAACTGCCCGCAGGCTGCCAATATTGCTTCCCAAAGAAACAAAAATTCTCCGGGCGATGCCCATTTTTAACACATATGCTCTGCATTCTGCAAGGAAGAGGACTGGCAGAGGTTTATTCAAACTGGTCTGGGGATGGCTTCCGATGCTGTTTCAGATAGTTACCCTGCAAGTCACTGGCTCCTCTCCGGTTCCTTCCAGGCCTCAGAAGTTCATGATGCCCATTGTTTCCATACCCACCGCCCAGGCAGCTGTCCATCTGTTGATGCTCCTAACAGTTCACCCTCAGAAGATCACGAGGAAGCATGGGGTGCCCAGCCATTCAGAGGTCCTCAGTAAGTAGAAGCAGCTGCAAGAAGTCACTGCCT